AATGGATCCCCTAATTAATGAAGAAACTTTCTATTTTTACGACAATTAGTCGGGTGTTTCCAATATATGCCAGTTGGGGTGACGTTGTCTTCGGCAGGGATAAATATTGTAGGAGGCATGTCGAGTGTAGAGTGGTCTGATACAGTCAGCCCGTAAACCGGCAGACAGCAGCGATGGAGTTCTTCACGGAAGCATGTAGGCGGCAAGTCCATGCAGCATCTCTTTACGTTCAAATCTCCACGTGGTTGGTAAACTCCCCGTCTCCCCCTTCTGAACAGGGGAAATAATACTTTACCCGGGCCTCCCTCATACCCCCCCCCCCTCCCCCCCAACCCTCCTCCTCTGCTTGACAGGATGCCAAGATTGAGCCGGAGGAGTTCACCAGCCGGCTGCAGACTGAGCTCAAGTCGTCGCCGCAGCCGTACCTGGTGCCCTTTCTCAAGGTGGGGTCCTCTCGTCTAAACCATGTTTACCTGTTCACCACCGACCGGGTTACTTGTTCCCTGACCTCGACCCCTGACCCCGAAACAGCATTTTCTTACACCTCTGCAAAGCCTGATTTCTAAATGTCCCTTTTTAACTGGCCACTAAACCAGAACCTGAAACATCCACGTGTGTCTCATAAAAGGGTCCTGTTTAGGCCTGGGTCCCAACTTTGACAGTTAACTGGGCCCCTTAGCTCTAAATTGACCCCTTAAATCAAACCACTTCCCGAACTGGCCCCAAACCTGCCCCTTAAACCCCTCCCTCAGCGTGGCTACTCCTAAACTCGCCCCCGTGAAGTAGTCCTTTCCCCAGCGCCAAGGCCGGTGACGGCCTGCCTCTGACAGAAGAGTGATGCACACACACACGCCCCTCCGGCCTGACTTGTGACCGTGTGTGACAGTGGCCCCCGCAGCCGCCCCTGCCAGCAGCCGGGGGTGTTTTCTCCAGCCAGCCGCGATGAGCGTCACATCAAGACGGCGAGCCCTCCCGACGCGGCCGCAGACACACGTTGTCATGCAGCGTTAGGCCTCTTACGTCAAAGAAATCTGCCTGAAATAGTCTGTGCGGGGCTGGCGTGGGCTGCCCGGGAGGTCTGGTCAGGGGTCATCAGATGGCAGCTATGCTGCGTGAGCGGCGTTTCGTCCTAGTGAAAATCCCACTAAACTGAAGATGGGAAATCTTTAGTAATAAAAAAAAAAAAAAAAAAGCGAGCCATTTCAGCATCTTTAGCCTGTAACCGTGACGACGTGTGCGCCAAGTCGGCCAGTGAAGCACAGCACCGTTTTTCTGTGTTTTCCCAGCTGCGTGCGTTCGCCCTCCCCTGCATGTGTGTTTTTGTGCCCTCTCCCGACTCTCAACCCCCGACCTCCCTCTGCCCGTCAACAGAAGAGCCTGCCGGCCCTGAGGCTGTCCCTGATGAACAGTCAGCAGTCCCCGACCCCGTCCCAGCAGCAGGGAGTCAAACCGCCGCCCTGCGGGGCCCCTCCCGCCCTCGCGCCAGCTGTCCGCGCGCGCCACCCCAACAGCGTCAGCATCACGCCGCCCCCCGGGACGCCGGGACATGCAGCCGGCGTGGTATGTACGCAGCGCACCGCGTCGGGCAGCTCGAAGTGACTCAAGGAACCACGGGAAGGACCCAAGTGTCCAGCAGTCCAGATGTGGGCGTAAAGTGTGCGAGCTGAGGAGGTCAGGTAGTACGCGTGAGAAGTATTCAGCCACTGCGGTCCCACATTTTATTCTTCTTCTTTCTGTCACTTGCTTTCTCTTCCCCCTGTAATCCGCCACCCTCACTCTCTCTTCATCTCTCCCTCCATCTCTTTCCAACAGTATCTCTCACTGTATCTACCCCCTCCCCCCCCCAATCCCTCCCTGCCTCCCTCCCTCTGCCCGTTAACCGTTGAAGAGTGAAGCGAGGTAACTAGGTCAGCCCCCGGGTCAATTTTTTAAAGCAACGTGGCGGCCGCAGTCCATTTCCTGGAACAGGCCTCTGGTCTCCCTCTGCATCCCTCTCTCATGCACACACACACACACACACACACACACAAAACACCAGCATAAGTTATCCCACACAACATTAGTAAATGATCGCCCCCGGCACATGCACACATGCACACATGCACAGTCTGAGAGCAGACAGCTAGTTGAATTGGGCTCTCGTAGGGCAGCAGGACGGGTCACAGTTCTTCCAGCAGCGCTCGTGTGGTAAAGTCTCAGATGTGAGGTGGAGCGCTTTTAACTTAACGAGTGTCACTACTCCGCATAGGGACTAGATGTGAATCTGTTACTGGAGGAAGTCAGATACGGTCTGGGTTTAATGGGATTGTGGCTTGTTTTTTATAGCAAGAAATATGTCTGATAATATTATATATATAATGGGTATTTCAAGACAATTTTTATTTTTATTTTTTAAATATAACGTTCACGCCACTAGTTCTCATGAGGCTTGCTGGGCGTCAAACTTCCTCAGGGCTGATGCTGTATCTGGTGGGGAATGAATGGAGAGCAGGAACTAGGCCACATCACGACACGGCAGTTCATTCTGTTCTGCAACATTGGGGGCAGATAAAAACTGTTTTAAAAGTTTCATTTATACAACAAACTCAGGAACAGTGGGAAGGTCAACAGAGCTACAGTGTGTATGAATAAATACAATCTGCTCTCACAGCTAATGCTGACAAAGCAGGGGCCCTTTCTGAAAAATGTCATCCGACGTTCAAAATATGTGCGTTTTTATTCCCACCATCATGAAAACATCTAATTGTCACTTTATTCATTAAGAAGAAGACAAAGATGTCCTCGAAATAAAAAACAATAACAGTTTCTGTCAATTTCAGTGACTTTCCTTTTAACCTCTGGTTGTAAAGAACATTCCTGGAACCCCCCCTCTCACCCCCTTAACCGTGTCGCCGGCTGGCCAGAGGTGCTCGCTGTCTCTGACTGAATGTATTTCTGTGCTCCCCCCTCCCCCCCTTCTACCCCCTTTCCCCCTTCTCCCCCTTCTCTCCCCCGCCCCTCGCAAGCCCCTGCAGTGGATCTCTGGGAGAGAAAAAAATGGCCTCTGTCCTTTTTTTTGTTCCGTTTTTCAAAGCAGCTTGAGCAGTAATATAGCATGTTGTCAGGGAATGGAAAACAAGGCTGAAAAATATGCAGCAAGAAGCAAACTGGTAGGAATGGATGTCTGAGCCCGAGACGGGGCCCGCGGCCGCGAGCAAGGAAGGAAGTGACTCTAATAGCACACACACACACACACACACACACACACACACACACACCTCCCCTCCACCAATGCCACTTCTTCTAAACTACCTTTTCACCCTGACTGCTTCGGGTCGCGCGTGGGGGTGTGAATGTAGGTCACGCACGGTGACACAAAACTCCGTCCCGAACGGCGCACACTCGAGTGGCTCTCGGGCCGTTTCTTCCAACTAAATGAGCCTGCAAAAGTGCCGAAAGTTGACCCCCGCCCCCACCGGCCCCCATCTCCCCTCTCATTTCCAGCATAGTTCCATTCTTTGAAGTTTGTTTGTTTGTTTGTGCTTCCTCAGGGTATCAAGGCAGCAGGCGCCGGCGGGGGCCACGTCCGGATGCCCGTGGTGATCACGCAGTCCGTCAGAACACAAGGTACGCCGGCTGCGGGGGCCTTCTGCCGCTTTAGGAGAAAACATCACTCATCAGCCCGACCTTCTGGTTGAAAAAAAAACAAAAAACCTGCGTTTAACAAAAGTAGCCATTAGTGAAAGTCTGGCGGTTCTCTGTGTCGGCCCTGAGATGTGTAAACAGGCGGAGCACCACAGAGGATCGGCGCCTTTTTCTCCTCCCGCCTGGTTGTGAAGCCTCCTCAAACATTTACTCACACGCTTCCCGACAGGAGCCCCGCAAACAACCGCCCCGGCACCAGCCGGGCGTAACGCTCCCCAGAGACCAGCTGTGGGCTCTCAGGTGCTGTGTGTGTGTGTGTGTGTACCTGTGCGCGTGTGCCTATATTTTGTGCGTCCGTGCGTGCGAACGCGGAGGTGCATACAAATTTGATCTGCCCCCTTCCCCGAGAGCGCCTGCAGTGGGAGATCTGTAGGTTGTTTTATGCCCATAAATTGGAATGCGGGGATAGTTTCTAAAAATACTTTGGCCGTGCCTCTCGGCGAGGAACATGCCTGTTAAAAATCAAGTTTAAATTCACTCTGGCAGGCCTCGTGCCTCTCCGGGAGAAAGGAGAAGAAAAAAGAAAAACCCAACGTGTGTCTCGGAGCGGGATGCGTTTTGAGGAGTGTAAGGAGAGCCCGGTGAAGCGCAGTGGTATTGACAGAGCGACGCTCCTCCGCGCTGACCTGGGGAGCCCCCCCCCCCCCCCTCTCCTCCAACACCCCAACACCTCCTACCCCCCCCCACCCCCACCCCTGCCCCTTCCCTCCGTTTGCCCCTGCGAGGACGACAGAGACACACTTGTAGGTAGTCGTTAAGACGGGAGGATGTTTGACGCAGATGGAGAGGGACGTTTCAATGATAACATTACTCCTTCTCTGTTTTGTTTTGTGTTTCCCTCTCTGCCCCCCCCCCCCCTCCCCCTCCCCCTCTCCCCCTCTGCTTCTTCTTCTCTTGTCTTAACAGGCACAATGGGGAAGGGAGGCTTCATCCAAGCGGGCAAAAGTCCCGTGGGCCCCGCTGCCGCTCAGATCTGTGGGAATCAGAGGAACAAGCTCAACGACCCCGGAGGAGGTTCTTTCAGGTACACCTCCCCCCCCCCCCCCCCATTCACCCCTCCCCCCAACCGGCAACCGCTGTTCAGGGCAGCCGTCACACGGGGGCAGCATTTCACTAAGATGGCCCCCCTCCCGCCCCCTCGTGACTTCAGGCTACACTCTCAGCTTTGGAGGCCCGGCGTCAGCCGCCTCCCCCCCCCCCCCCCCTGTCCGTGCGCCGGCCGGCAGGGTCGCTCCCCCTCGCCGCGTCAGCGTCGGGAGCACGCGGCGATGGCTGCGTCTTCGCCCTCTTATTTTTGAGAAACAAGGTAATTGCGTCCAGATGGTGGGGGATTTTTTTTTTTTTCTGGATGCCGTTCTGGAAAACAAGAAGAGAAAGAAATACCTCTGGGTTAAGTCAAACATACGGCATCTGAGCCGCCGGCGGCGCTCGCCCCGTCTCCAGCGCTTCAGCTGGGCTTTTGTCTCAAAACATAAAAGGTTCATCGCCCACATGCTGGCCTCTGTGGTTCATGTTCAGCGCGAGGTCCTTGCTTGTGTGTGTGTGTGTGCTGTTGTGTGTTTGCATATATGCCTCCCTTGTTTGTTCGTGTTTGTGTCCCTGCCTGGATGCACATGAACATATGTGTATATCCCTAAAGATCTGAGGGTATTGTTTACGTGTCAAATGTGTGTATGCGTGTGCTGACAGGAGCAGCGGTTTTAGGGTTGGTCCCGGTGTGGCCGGGGGAGGGGGCGGGGAGGGGGGGGGCTGCAGAGGAGTCTAGGTCACGCGGGCCAGCGGGTTCGCGGTAATGGCTGCCGTCTCCCGAAGGGGTAAAGGCTGCCGCCCCCCGAGGCCCTGATTGATAAACCAATAAATCTTTAGCTGCGTTGGTAATTAAGCTGTCAGGCTCGCTTGTTACTGTCGACCTCTCTCTTCCCCCCGCGGTGATCACAGCCCCCCCGCCCCCACACCACACACACACACACACACACATACCGGTTTCGACATAAGCCCGATAACGCACAGCACCACTGGCACGCCGCTGACATTTCGCAGCTTATATCCCCTTTTTTCCAGGTCACGTGATCCGCCTGCTCTGCTGTAGTTGGGGGGGGACAAGCAGAGTGCACGGGTCCACGCGCTTCTCACAGGTTGCGCGTTTCTGTTCAGGCGACGCCATCCCCCTTAACATTCCTCAAATTCAAATGTTCCAAGCGCCTCGGAAAGCGGCGCACCAATTCCATCTTCGTTGGTAGTTTGAAAACGCGGGCCGCTTCCTGCGAGGTACCACGGGGAAAAGGAAGTCACGTTTCAGCTTTGTCCTCACCTGCTCAGGTGCCATCTATTCATAAACGCATGCTCCAACATGCATTTTGCCACACAAATTGGCGAGAAGGTCGGTCGGCATCCAGCAGCCTCTCGTCCCACCAGGCCTGAGAGCGGCTGTCACTCCGAGCCACCGGTCCCAGTGGGCCAGCTGTAGCCCAAACACACACATGTATGTACACACTGCAGGGCGTGTGGGGTTTTCCAGTGCAGCTCCAGCCTTCTGTGTGTGTGTGTGTGTGTGTGTGTGTGTGGTAGTTTACAGTACAGAGTGAAAGCAGCTGTCTTTGTGCCCCTCCCTGCCTTCATCTCTCTGTAAACACTCAACATCCGCTGTAATCACAGGCGAGCCAGCCGAGGCCCTCAGCCCTCTGCCAACCCTCTGAGCTCAGCCCCCCCCCCCTCCATTCCAAAATTTTGACCCATTCCCAAAGCGTGCAAAGACACTTTTGTAGCCGCACGGGAAAAGACCCGCACAGATAAGGCACCGGGGGGGGGGCTTCTCTGACTCGCCAGTCACTGTTGCCAGTGGGTCCTTCTCCTTCTGCCCTTGTGCTTCCATCCTTTGTTGCTCTGTTAATTTGCTGTGTGTAAAATAAAATAAATGAATAAAAGGCTCCAGAAATACTATTTGCACTCCATTAGACCTCCAAAGTGACCTCCCGGAACTGGAAGCCCAGCGGCCACGGAGTGGGCGGCGTACCAAAGTAAAAAGAAAAACGGAAACTGTGCGTTGGATTAATAGTAATTTACTAAACTTCTACTCGCCCCCCTTGAGCCACCGATGGCCTCGACCATCAGGTCATCATCCTGCCGCGAAGAGCGAGACAGTCTCTCTGGCAAGCCTGCCCCCCCCCCCCCCCCCCCCCCCCCCCCCCTGGGTGCTGCTGGTGATAGTGAATGCCCCCCCCCCCGCCCCCCACCAACACGCTCGCAAAACACGCACAGCCTCCAAATGGCAATCCCGCCACAACCCCAGGCGTGCCCCCTCACATAAAACACGCGCTCGCCGTGGACACGACATGCATATGTATGGACGCGGGGGGGCCGGCGGCTGCGTGTCCCCCGGCCGGCCCCCGACCAATGAGAGAGAGGCCGCTGCTCACTTCTTCTCCGGTGGCAGCTAATTGCATCTCCGCTTTATTAGCTCAGAGGTGTCGCGGGGAATATTTAGCATTCCATATCTCGCTCCCTCCTTTTAATGTCAGAGCCTCTCTCTCTCTCTCTCTCTCTCTCTCTCTCTCTCTCTCTCTCTCTCTCTCTCTCTCTCTCTCTCTCTCTCTCTCTCTCTCTCTCTCTCTCTCTCTCTCTCTCGCTCGCTCCGGCACGCCGTTTGATTTGAACCCCGGCGAGTACAGACGGCCAGAAGTAAGACCAGGCGGGGAGAAGAAGCATGCGCGGTGCTCGGACACCCGGCGGTGCGCGGTGCTCCTGTGCAGTGGTGCAGTGTTGTAAAGCATTGGAGATTTTTGTGCATCAAATAAATTCTGCTCACTTCTTACTTAAGGGGGGAAATTGGAGCGCTGTGGAAAAAAGAATCTACTTCTACGGGTTTTTTGTTTTCATCAGAGCTATTTGAGCAAATCTTTAGAGGGACACACTGAATCCATGTTTTAGTGGATTTTAATTTAGGTTTTTTATTGTCTATATATATATATATATATATAGATTATATTGTCAACAACCAAGCCATGCTTCAGGTTTGTACTCCATGGGTTAATAACCTGTCCAACCAGCTCATCCTCCCAAAACATTTATGTCAATTTGAATATTTATGTGCATTGTCTACTGTTGCTGTATGATTTATAAAGAGAGGCACACAACCCATTTTAACGGAAATGACGTAATCCAGCCTGTTCGCTTCGAGAGATATTTATGTTGTAAAGCATCTTCATCTACTATAATTAAGCCTTTTTCGACAAATGTGTTTCTTTGTCTGTCGCCGACCAGTGAAAAGTAACGGACGCGGCCGTCACGCTGACGGGTAAATCCAACCTGACTGCATGCATGGTTTGAAGCCGCGGCGTACCAGGCTGCGCGTGGCCTCGGGCCTCCTTCTCTCCAGGACAGGCCGAGTCATCGGCGAGGACGCGGTGAAGCCGGGCCGCAGCACCGGGTTTAATCCCGCGTGTCCCTGCCTGCGTCGTTATGTAGATCCCCTCCGCGAGGGCGTAATTGGACCGCGGCAGAGGATGAAGCGAGAGAGGGGAGAAGGTCGAGGAGTGCGGCTCTAATCGTCTTTGTCAACCTCCTGCCGCGGTGTCAAGTTTCATATCTGCTCTCCGCGGCCGCTCACCCAGGGAGCGGGAGGCCGGGGTGGAGCGGTGCCAACGCATTGCACACACACACAGAGCATGGCATGGGACGCAGGCGACAGTGGAGGTGAGCCGGTTGGGGGGGGGGGGGGGGGGGCTCTGCTTATCGGGTTAATTCAGGCCAGAGCCACCGCCATCACCCGCCAAGGGATTCGTCTCGACGACGACTCCCAACGAGAGCCGCAAACCCTTTTGAAGGATGCGAGGACGTCATTTATGGGCCGTTAAGGCAAAACAACATGTAAACACCGTGAAATCGGCTTTACGCCTGTGAGAAATGACCACGGCATCAAAGGAAAATGGTGAGCAAAGCGCTGTGCAAATAGGGTTTGTTGACATTAGCGCGCGGCCAGATTCATCGCGGCCCCGTGCCAATCCTCAGGAGCATCCTTAGCTCCGTCCAAACGCTCTTCATCTCCCCGCCTCACGGAGCGCCGGCCACAAATAAACCCTGCCGTGGGAAATTGTGCCAATAAGCCAACGCGCGGCCCTCTGTCACAAAACGAATGTGTGTTGTCAGCCAAGGAAATATTCATGAATCAAAGCAGGAGCATATGTTGGTAACGTTAAGGCATGAATACTGATATTAAGGGGCTTGTTTAGTTCCTCCTGCAGTGCAGCCCAAAGCCGCTTTCTCTCAGCAGGGAGCGTAGACAGACCAACCAGTAGGGGTCACTACTGCTGTGGCGAGGACGAGATCCCCAAAGACAGCCTCCCAAAAGGGGCCTTTCGCCCGGAGTCCGTGTGCGACCTTCGTTGACTCGAGTTTACCTTCAACTCCCTCTGAGGCCTGTTTGAGTGCTTAGTCTGCAGCGAGATGTGTTCCTTCACATCTGTAATCAGAACCACAAATTGAGTTCTCGGCTTGTCCGTTGGTACGTCACATATATCGCTCAAAGGTCAACATCCAAGGTTTACCTACAGGGAATAAAGAAGCTGTGCATGTCTGTAGTAGAGGCTGCAAAGATAAAACGCGAGAGAGGTCTCAAGGAATTGGCCTTCAGTTATTATCCCATCTAGCTTGTTTGATAAACCCACTTGACCAGCAACACAGCTACTATGACCTCTGTCCCACCGAGGTCACCGTGACGCCTCCACTTAAGAACTCACATCTCCAATAAAAATGATATAAATTCTATGGCCAATAGTCCTTAACACGGCCGCGGAGGAGAGGATGGCGTTTCCTGACTCACCCTCCATCTCTCACGTTGCAGAGACGATGACGACATCAACGATGTGGCCTCCATGGCCGGGGTGAACCTGAACGAGGAGAGCGCCAGAATACTCGCCACCAACTCGGAGCTGGTGGGAACGCACATCCGCTCGTGCAAAGACGAGGCCTTCCTCCACCCGGGCCTGCTCCATCGGCGGATTCTGGAAACGGGTAAGACGGCGCACACGTGGGGACACACGGGCCTTTTAAAGCTGCAGCCTCTCAGATGTAAAGCTGTTGTTGTGGCAGCAAACGATGCGGCGCTGCGCCTCCACTCTCCAACATCCAAAGCTGGGAAAAAAAGCAGTCGGTAGGAGTGATGAAATCACCAACTGTTGTCTTTTTGTGTGAGGAACATGTTGTTTCTGTATTTATAGTGTCATCACTAAAGACAGTTTTTTGGATTTTTCTCTCCTTCAGCGCTTCAGTCTGAGCCTCTTCTCTTGTTTGGCCTCGGCTTAAATTTGATACACTTAACAATTCTTTCACCTCCTTTAATGAATTCTTCAGTGGCTGTCTGAACTCACTGGACCGCAGGCACACACATAAATACTTTATGGGTTTGTCTTTTGAAGGCTGGCTGTCAGATTGTCCTGTGGACTAAAGGAACGGGGTTTAGAGCAATACGACTTGGCAGTGGGATTTTGATTCTTTGTCTCTTCTTGCGGTGGATCTTAACTCGCCGAACAGACGCGTTCTATTGGATACAGGCGGCGGGGGGCTCAGTTGGTTTGCAGCGTTGCGCCAGAGAGATGGTATCTCCATTACCTCCTTTCCCGGCTGTCCACCTCATTGCTCAGTTTACACCTTTGGCTCCCAACGCAACGGTGAAACCTGTGAAAAGGTTCAGCGAGGGTCCGTACTAAAGAGAGAAAAAAAGAGCGTAGCAACTCGGCCCCGCGCATCGGATCGTGAAACACAACCTATAATTCCGCGTGACGGGCGGTCTGGCGTCCGCGTCTCGTCTCATCTCCATTAAAGTATCTTTAGTGCAGCAACGCAACCCTGCAGGTCATGTTCCCTTACGCGGCGCGGCTGTTGTGCCGTCACCTTTGGGGCAGAGGGGATTGTTTAAAAATATAAATCCTTTCCTCTGGGGGGTGGTGGGAGCAGCACGATACAGGGGCAGGAGGCCGGGGCGCCCCCTGCCGGGGAAGTGGCACTTGTGCAGCTTGGTTGTGTCAGTGATGGGGCCTCGCTGCGCTCTCAGCCGACAGCAGTCGGAGGGAGGCTCGGCGGGCCTGCCAGCTCGGCTCAGTCACAAGCGCCTCGGCTGCAGCCCCGCTCTGCCTCTTCGTGTTCGCCGGCATTTGCACTTTAGCTCCGGTCGCCCCCGCAAGAAGCAGAGCCCCAGCGTCCCTCTCTTTTTCACACCTTACTCTTCAATTTTCAAATTGGATTTTTTTTTTTTTAATACTGACTCCACAAGAGGATTTTTTGGTTTCCATCCTCCTCTTTCTCTCTCCACGTCCCCCCCCCCTCCTTACACAAGAAGGCACTTGTGTCGACCTCTCCGTCCCTCCTCACATCTCCCCAGGCTGGTCCTTGAGCTGGGCATGGGGGGACGGGGTGGCTCTGGCCTTTCTGAAGCGGCACAAAAAGCACTCCAGCCCTCCCAGTTCAGGAAGCTCCTCAGAGCAATGATAGTCCAGTCATTCACACACATTCAATCTCATGCACGTACGTGCACGCGTGAGCTGTTTGCATAAAGCAGAGCTGATACGGCAAACACACACACACACACACGTACAACACAGTTGAAGAAAACCAATGTTGCAGGAAAGTAACCAAATTCTAAGACCTGGAAATATGCGAAAGCACATAGAAAGCAATGATGAAAGGCATCTGTTTGTTGTTAATTCGGTGTAGGTCTCAACCATGTCGTGATAACGGTCTTAACAGCTGAAGGCGAAGGATAGCATTGACACAAACACTGGTTGACCCTAATTGGATGTGTTCTCAAGCTTTATTCCTTGCAACTTGAACTTGATTCAATTTCAAAACATAAGAAGAGCCTCATGCTGCGCTCACATCATGTCAGTTTTCTACCATGGAGCTAGCAGGAAATGCTTCTGGGGTTGGGGGGGGGGGGCATGTTAGCCCTGTGTTGTAAGACATGAGCTCCAATGCCTCTTGGAGCCAGAAGATGATAGAAATATGTTTTCTGTGGTCATTTGACAAGCACAAATGGAAAATGGCAATTGTTTTTTGTTGTCATGGTGACAGCCTCATCCTGTGGGGGTAACTGGCCCGTTACCTCCCCCAGAGCGACAGGAAGTGACGTGTAACCAGCGTAGTTAGCGAGCTAGCTTTTTACTTTATCTGGTTTCGCTCCTTTTTCCACTTTTAATCCGTCTTGAATGCACTTCCTGTTAAAAGCTCAGGATTATGGGGTCAGATCAGTGTCAATCATCGCAAATGCACACAGAATGCACAAATAAAATTCACAAATGCGCACAGAGCAATGCACAGATATATTCCATTTACGAGCGTTGTCACTACCACCGGACGCCATTGTTTGCCGACTTCGGACCCGTTGCATCGCAGGTTGCGTTGCTGTATCGCCGGCAGGCTCGTGGGGAGGGGAGGGGGGCAGCTGATTGGCTGAAAAAAAATGCATTTATGGAATTCGGCTCCCGTCAGACAAGTTTAAAAAACCCACACAAATGTGAAGCAATCTGCAAACAAATGTGAATATAACTCTCTCTTATTTATATGTGCATTGATTGTAAATCCTTCTGTGTGCATTTGTAAATCTGTGTGCATTTAAATGTAGACCATCGACCGTCTGGATGTTGTTAAGCTGTCGAGGCAGAGACATCTTAAATGGATGTCAGTATTTTTAAGAAGCAGGATTGGAGGAGGAATACATGTCAGGGTCCTTCCCAAAAGAGATTATTTAAACAACCAGTTCCGTGGTCACTCCGGATCATAAGATACTGAGCATCATTAAAGGGTCTGCGTGTGTTCTGTAAATCTCCTCGGCTATGGAAGTACGGTTTTCTAGTGGTTGCTTATCATTTGATCCCTGGATGTTCTTAACAAAAGCTGCGCTCATATTCTTGGCATCGTGTCTAAAATGCTCGTGGACGGCAGCACGGACAAAGCTGCACTGGATCTTCACCGCTGACGTGCAGTCAAAAGGATTTTGTGTTGAGTTTATTTTGACTAGCACAAGTCAGCTAGTCAGCTTCCCCAGGAGGACTTTGAGGATCTCGGGAGAATCTCGGGCTAATAAATGTCCGTGGGCAGAGAAAGGCAGAAACTATGGACACAAACTATTGTAGCTGGGTCTTTCAGGACTTTTTCCATGTTCACCGCCAGCTACTTTTCAGGGGGACCCTTGTTGCCATGGATACCATTCAGTCCTATACTATATAAATATTCAAGTTACCAGGCCTCCATGCAGATTGCGTCTCGGCGCCGTCTGGTGCGATGAAGGTGCCGAGCAGGCCGCTGCAGTCGCGTTACCTAACAAGAGAGGGTGACACACACACACACACAAGGTCTATGATCACTACAATTCAAGGTGTACATGGCTGTGACCGGATTGATCGGACGGATATCCTGCAATAACTATATTCAGAGATCGCTCTGCGTTGGTCATGTAAGAGGGAGCTCGCTGCAGCTTCGTCATCTGTACGCAATATAGATTCTAGCAGCCGAGAACACAGCAAGACGACGTCCTCCATGTGTAACTTCAGCCCACCGCTGCCAGGCGGTTTGCGCCCCCCTCGGCTAACACCGTGACGTAATCATGAGGTCAGCTGTGACAGATGTCAAACACACAAGCAGCACCAGCAGCGGCTCTGCAAGGCTGTGCTCACAATGCTGCTCGAATGCTTACTTCAACATGCAAACATGCTCCGGTTATCAGCACCAACGTGTTTAGCAGGTATGATGTTCAACATGTTAACCATTTCAGTCTTTAAACCACTTCTGCTGTCTTTTAACTCAGCGCCAAAAATAAAATGAACAAATTCAAGATCCAATCATTTCTGAGGTTGTTTATTCTGAAGCGGAGGCTGCGGACAGACTAACATTGCCGCGCCGATGGAGCCACGTAACTTGGATAAAAATCCCACAAACTTCCACCCAACTGGAGATGCTATAATCTTTGGTTCTTGTTATTCTTATTATCTTTTTTTGTTGTAGAAATTAGGCGAAAAATCAAAGCTTTTTGGTTCATTAGTCTTTTTCTCGGCCCATTTTATTTGAGGTGAATAATAGCGATTTGTTTCAGTCCAAGAATATGTTTTTTTTTTTTTTGCTCACAGTAATGTGGCTCCCCGTCTAAGTCTCTTAAACTTTCTCTGAAATATTAATGTCCCTGAAAGATCTTATTTTTCAGGAAGCAGAGCCCATTAGTGTTTTGCGTTGACCTTGTGACATTGCCACATGTATTGCCCCTGTAATTATGGGGCTAACAGGGCTCCCTCCGTCCTATTTCAAAGCTGGAGCGGGTGAGTATATGCATTGTTCGGCTGATTTAAATAATTGGTGTGGTTTACTTAAAAGGGTGCCAGAGAGAAAACTCTGGTAATGGAATAATTTAAAAGGAAGTTGGAAACAGATAGCAACCCCACCAAAAGTCTGTCCTCCTCTCTTTTGTTATGGCTTCAGATGATTTTGCTCCAAGGAAACTAAATTATCCTTCTCCGGTGAGAGAGAGATGGTCAATGTCGTTTACGCACTCAAAGTGAAGCCACGCTGGAATTTGAAGACTGTGAAACAAATGAACTTTTTCTTTACGATGAGCCGTATTTCTGGGCACTAATCCAGACAGTTGATCTGCGAGTACAGTAGATGTGTACGTGTGTGGAGACTGAAAGTCCCGATCTTCTGGAGTGTTAATTTTATGGGACGCCGAGTGTGTGTGTGTGTCTGTGTGTGTGTGTGTGTGTGTGTGTGTGTGTGTGTGTGTGTGTGTGTGTGTGTGTGTGCTTTTGGCAAAATAATTAGCTTGTCCCTGATTAGCTGTTGTTTCGAGTCGTGGAAGCGAGTGAAGTGACGATAAAAGCATCAGTTTTAAACCTGTTCATCTCTTTTAGTAAATGAAATGAATAAAGGCCGTGTCATAAAACTCGCACGTGGTACAAGTGGAGTGGAGGAACAGAACCAGCGAGGCCATCGAGGTTCAGATTGAATGCAGAGGGGTCAAAGGTGATGTTAATGCGTAACGATGCACTGACCCCAAACGTTTGGTTTCTGTCCTTCACAGCCAGGAAGTTCGGAGTCACTGAGGTCCCAGTGGAGGCCGTGACGTTCATCTCTCACGCCGCACAAGCTCGCCTTCGAACCGTAGTGGAAAAGGTTTCAACCATCGCACAGCACCGACTGGACTCCTTCAAGGTGGGAACAACGCAAACACACACACACACACACACACGGTGGAGAAGGTCATCAGGTGCATTATTTAAGTCATTTTTTACTTTTCTCTCACGCTGTTTTCGATGGTGTAAAACACCTGCTGTAGGTAGTAACACATGCACGATGGATAAGTGTGTATTTGTTGTGTTGGGAAATAAACTTCACCAGCACATTCGAGCGCACAAAAACACACACGCCCTCTTAAACACACAAACTTGAATATGGGCTTGTGCGCTCCCAGCGTTCCCACACAGCGCCGGAGCGCCACTCACATAAACACATAATATATGATAAGTTCATATGAGCAACCGTCTTTTTCCTTTTTTACCTTTTTAAGTTGTCATTGAGAGCCATTCAGCCCAAACTCCAGGTACAAAGGAGGCTTCCACGCGCCCGTCCTGGGTTATTGGTGACTTCATCTCCCGTAGCCCTTGAGTGCAGCTTTACAACCACATTTAATTGGTGTTCATTAAAGAGAAGAAGCCATCTCCACTGGTAGCCTGGATCTCGGCGTTGTTGGTGAGAACAGTGGGGGGGGAAACTTTTGAAAGTGTGTTTTTCCTTTTGTTTCTGACACCGAGAAGGCAGGAAGAGCGGCACCGCGGCTGTCCCCATCTCGCGTGGCGCTTCTTCTTCTTCTTCTGTTCCTTCCTGCTATTCCCTTCTTTGTGGTTTTGCAAATGAGGCGCGTGTGTGTGTGTGCGAGAGAAAGAGAGAGAGAGAGGGAGAGAGAGGGAGAGGGAGGGAGAGAGAGCTCTGTGAAGCCACTCTGTTGACATCAGCGGAAAAAAAAAAGACCAAAAGAGTAACCGGGCCTCGGTGGCGGCAGCAGGAGCTACGGAAAGAGTGCCGGCTCAGCGCTGCAACAAAGAGGGGAGGCAGAAAGCGTGAGGGGGGCAACGGGAGGGGGGGGGCCTCTCTGATGTGCCTTTGTGCTCTGTGCCACCCAGCTCTTCTCATCCACACGCAGATGGAGAACAGAGGGATGCAGCTCGCTGCGCAGGTGACACACAGGCGCACGCACACAGATGTGTGAAATAAGCCATTATCCTATTAACTTTTGATGACCTACAAAAGTTTTTTTTTTTTTTTTTCCCCCCGCACCTGCCTTTCCTTTCTCCCGAGTGATGCACCATATGCAAAGAGCACCCGCCGCCTTTAAATAGATACAAAGAGTCTGTGTGTGTGCGCGTGTGATCACACCGGGGACGTCCCAGGTGATCTGCGTCTCGTGCCGTTGACGATGGGGTGTTTTTATGTGCATTAGCCCGGCGCAGACGGCACATCCGTTACCGTCGTCTTCATGGTCCTCATAGGTCTCATATGGCGACGGTCGTCGTGCCGTTTGTGGTTGAGAGCTGTGCGATTCTCCCATTGGCGAGGAACTTCCCCGGCAAGTACAAGTCAACGTAATCGCCAGGACCAAGGAGGCAAACGGGGGAAAAGTGTCTTTCTAGTTCAAAACTTTTCGCACGGGTTTGTCAGAGGTGGCGATGTGTATTTTGTCCGCTTGGCTGTGTTTGCCTTCTTTCCCAACAAAGTCCAACCACGTCGGCGTCTTCCTCTTGGACGCGTGTTGAAGATGGGGCATCTTGCCGCTCTTTTTTACCCGCCGGGAGCGAAACAAGGCAAAAATAAAAAAGAGGGAAGATGCAGGCGACGGTGCAGGTCCTGTGTAGATACAGCCACCTCTAGTGGGTCAGTGGGGACAATGAAGAGTCTATACAAAGCTTTTTTCTTTAGGAAATTCCTGCATAGTAGCTTCAACGTATAATGAGGGCTGACCTGAATATTTGCTGCTTAATTGTGAGTCAGTTATGCAATGTGTCCAATTGGCTGTGTAGCTCATGTCGTGTCTCCTGTGTTTCTGGAATAAGTGCTGAAACTTTCATTCCTTTGACAGAAAGTCAATCAGCAACATTATGTTTCTCCTCTGATTGGGATCTTCGTTTTTTTAAGGCAAGCATCTCCTCTTTACTGAGGACTGTCGGCCGCACAAAAGGAGCTGTTTGAAGTGCTAATCCGGATTAGCTGGAGTTTTCTGACAGCAAATCATGAAATCAAACAGAGCAATGATGTACATGATGAAAATAATCATTAGTGTCAGAAGGAATGAGCGCATACTATTCATCCACTGCTCTTTGAATGTGTGACGCGTATCACTCGCTGGCCTCGTGCCTCGTCAGCCGTCACCTCAAACTCACAATCCATCCACGTCAGATTCCACCACCACACACTTGGTGAAAGAGACGTTCCAGCATAGATGTTGCAGCTCATCCATCACGTATCGATGGACCCGGGTCGCCCCTCAGGCTCTGACACGCTGCGGCCGCGGCCCCCGGAACGGGGACCCGCACCTGTTTATTCCCCGTCCGACCGACCGCCTCCGTTTGTCTCCCCGTCAGGACGACGAGTGCTACGAGCAGTCGGCGGACGCTCGCTCGCAGCTGCGCTTCTTCGAGCAGCTGGAGCGAATGGAGAAGCAGAGGAAGGACGAGCAGGAGCGGGAGATCCTGTTGAAAGCAGCGAAGGTAAGTTGTTGTCACCTCACCATCCTTTTTGTTTGTTTGTGTGTGTTCATGTGTGTGTGTGTGTGTGTGCGCTTGAAGCCCTGACAGATGAATTAGAGTGTGACACCAGTGGATGAAGTGACCTCCCTGCGTCCCCCCCCCCCCCACCGGCCTCAGGGCTCCTCCGTCCCAGCTCTCCCTCACCGGGCACAGCGCGCACACCACGCACACACCACCCCCCCCTGCCACACACACTCACTGCCTCGTGGACAGACACACACAGACAGACACCCATGTACGGGCTGCAAAACAGCCCTCGATCACAAGGCCTGACAGCTCAGGTGAAACATCCTTTTAAAAGCGTGCGGAGCGTCAGGAGCAAACGGCACTTTTTTTCCTTTATTCAACCTTTTTTTTTTATTATGACGGCATGAAAAAAGTGTTTTCCCCCCAAAAGCAGCAACAATTTGTTTGGATCAAAAACTATCCGCTACGCCGAGAACCGAAGAGGATGTCTTATTGCTTCCCTATTTACTTGATTCTAAGATTCTTGAATATATATGCTTTTTTTTACATAGATTGTCCATCCATCCATCCATCGTCAAACCGCTTATCCTGCACACAGGGTCGCGGGGGGGCTGGAGTCCTATCCCAGCCAACTTCGGGCGAGATGATCAACTATATGTATTTATATAAAAAAGTTGATAACAACTTTAAGCAGTCAGACATGTTACATTTTCCCGTCCTGAAAAGGAGCAAAATGGAAATAGAAAAAAAGGATTCCATTGTTTTAACAGATCTTTGGTGTGTATCCTTTGGATTTTGAGGTGTTGACTCCATCACAGCTGTTTCTCAGAGACTGCTTCAAAAGTGACGCTAACTACGGGCCAGGCTCGCTGCCAGCCAACAATCCAGTTACCAGTTGCTAGAAGCTCCACCGCTGCCAAAGCAGAGAATGATTCAAGCCACCTGGAATAGAGCAACGGTTCACGTCCAGAAATGAGTCGACACACACTTTGGTTTAGCTGCTGAACGAGGGCTACGGTTGGTAAAGGAGTTCTGACAAGTAACTACACAGATACAATTCCATTGCACGCACTATGAAAGAGGCAAAGCATTGTGCAGCAATCACACACGTATAGAGGCACACAATAAAACACAAAGAGCGGAAATAACTGCGCCGACTTCCTCACACAGTATTCAAAAGCGTTCTTATTTTGCAGCGGCGTCCTTGCATTGTTACGTCAAACCATCCATCTGTCTATCGGCAAAAAAATCTATTTTCTAAAGACTTGAAAAGATCACCACGGACCCCGGAAGAGAGAGAGAGACAGAGAATCTTTTGCAAATGAAAATGCCCGGCGGTTCAACATTAGCAGAAAGCTTGGTTAATTTAATTAATTTTGAATGGAGCAAATGTCCCACAGTAAAGATTCTCATTGCAGCACACCTCACCGCCTTAATTGCATTATTACGCTCCGCTCCTGCTAAGCAGGATATTAGAAAAATCCTCTGGTTGATGAACGCCGGCCCCCAGACCCCACGACCTGTCTGGGGGGGGGGGGGAGAAGAGGCCCCGCCTCCGCAGGAGAGCGCCGCTGGGGAGCGCGCGGTGATGTAATGTCCTCCGGTCAGGTGCCCACTTCTACTGCGAGCGGCTCTGCTCGTTAACCGGGAACTTCTGCGGATTTTTGGCCGGGTTCCCGCTGGCGGGGGCTCGCCCGGGGGGCTATCTGGGCTGTGCGAGCATGGCGGAGGAGAGCTTGACTTCACCTACGAGCCGTGTCCGCGGCTTATTTGGCGCCCGTTGCCATGGTGTTTCACTTCCAGCAGAAGTTTAGAGAGAAGATCCTGTTCTTTTTTTGGCTAAAGATTATACAAAATATCACACGCTTGCAAAAGAAGACACTCAGGTTTTCTTATTATTCAATGATTTAATATCCATGTCCTGTTTTCTGTATTATTGTGTGGACACCTGGAAGGTGACAATCCTGTGCGAGGAGCGACGGAAAAAGACCCGTTCACCCATACGGGAGAATATAGTGACAGAATGTAAACTTACAGCTGAACAGAAACAAGCGCACCTCTCTGGGGGATTTTTTTTATTTTCCATTTTAAATCTACTGGGCAACAAAGTGAAAAGCATGCGGGACATTTTAAACCGTCTGGTGGAATGTGATCGGCGTCACTGATTGGCCGCGTACTGTAAAGCGCCGTAATTGGAAGATTGGAGTCCACTGCCACTCCTCACCCCCCCTCTGTAAACAGTCCATCTGCAACGCCCCCCACCCCCTAGTCCTCCTGCTCCAGCGCCCGCTAATTTTACCTCCTGAACAAGAAGCCGCGCTGATAAAACCCTGTCTCCTCCCCCTCCTCCCCCTCCTCCCCCCTCACAACAAGCCCTCCCCTCCACTCTGGGCCGTGCACTTAGAACATGACTCAAGTCTTTGGGGGATGCGCCGGCCCGACCGGAGGGCAAACGCATTAGTCTGGGTTACGATACCGACCAGTACGTGAACCGCCTGATATATTTAAAACCAATTAGCAGGAGAGCTATGAGGGGAGGAGGGGGGAGGGGAACGGATAGTTATGCTCTACGGCCTGCAGACTGTACCGTCACATTTGTGACAAAAAATAAAAAAGACACATAAATATTTTCAACACAAAGGGAAACATGGATTAGGACCTAAAATGTAAACGGATGTTCCGTTGGGTCTGATCTGCAACGACAGAGATTATATGAGGACCCCCCCCCCCCCCCCCCCCTCCTCCCTCCCGCCTCCGCACAAATAAATAAAGCGTGCGGTTCCATATTGACCCCCCCACACGCAGTGGTCAGCCGTGCGGGTCTGTTTGGCCGCGTCCCAGAGACACGTTCACCAGATCCCGCCTGCTGATTAACATACAAGAGCTGTGTTGTTATGCCAGGGACACGCACACGCACACACACGCACACACACACACACACACACACACAGACACACACACACAGCGTCTGATAGCAACACTGTGACACACACACGCCGCCACTGATACTCATCCTTTGCCCCCCGTGTGTGTGTGTGCGTGTGCGTGTGCGTGCTGGCTTCTGCAGAATTTTTAATAACCTCTTTTGATTAGAATCCCCCTCCAGCGGCTTATTTAGGGATGGATTTGGAGCGGGGTTTAAAGGCCATCGCCCCCCCCGGGGGAAGGCGCTCTATTGCACTTCTCTGAATTCGGATTCGATGTCCTTGACACCTCCGTGTCCTGTCCCCGTTTTGCACTATTTTCTGCCGCAGCAGCAGCAACAGATGAGCAGCAAAGGAAGGGGAGATGTGGGCTCCTTTTTGTACAACCAGCTGTTAACCTGTGCCCCCCCCCACTCCCCCCACACTCCCTCTCTTCCTCTGCAGAGTCGCTCCAGGCAAGAGGACCCAGAGCAAGCTCGACTGAAACAGAAAGCCAAGGAGGTAAGCTGCACCCCCCCTCCATCCAGTCTGCATGCCTCGCTACACGTGTAGTGCCATTTGAAGTCAGACTTAATAAAGGTTTGAGGACTCATTCACGTCGATTGATGCCCGGGTGTCTGTGTGTGTGGAAAATGACTTTCCTGCGTGCCAAAGACGCCCTCCACCTCTTTCACCCCCCCCCCCCCGCCACCCATTCTCACCTCATTTCTCGGACCCGTTTGATTTCTGGACTCGCTGAGCCTGGTTTTGGTAGTTGGGCTTTCAGTGGACAGAAATACTTGAACATATTTCATGTTATGTCACGTTGTTGTAACATCAAACCACATTATCTGTCTCTGTTTACTACGGATGGACTTTTCCTTCGCTTCTCTGTGGGAAGAAAAAAAGAGTCAAATTTGCCACATTAGCTCAGCGGGGCCATAAAAAGCAACGTGAGCGAGAGGTTTTTCGACGTAGCGATTCACGGCCCACATTAACTTTTACTGCCTCGAAGGAATAAAAAAAAAAGAAAAGGCGCTGTTTCCGCTCTTCAAGTGAGCGGCCGAAGCGGAACACGTGGCGCTCCAAATTGGGAAGTGTTTTACCAAAGCGGCGCCGCTGCTTCCTGCTCTCTTTAAGTGCAGGTTCGTACCTGCTGGAACTCCCAGCGGACCTGGAAGTAGACGGCTCTCCTTTTAGTGGCTGGTTTATGTTGTTTACGCAGTACTTCTGTCACAGCGGAAGTTTGCGGAGATATATATATATATTTATATATATATAATATATTTTTTGTGTTTTACTCCGAAGCAACTTCAGTGGGTGCTGACGAGGATCAAGAGGATTGTCTTGAGCTTCCGTAGAGCCGCGCGAGGAGGCGGGAGGATGAAACACTCACTTGTTGTTGTTGTTGTTGTTGATGTAGAACTTAAGGACGTGGTTTCTTTCCAAGTTGCTCTTAAAAAAAAAAAAAAAGCAAGAAAAAAAAGCCCTTTCATTTATCCGGTAAAGTTTATTGAGCAGGTTTGCACTTTTCTCACAAACACACTTGTATAATTTGCTCCTCCGTCGGTTTGCGTGGAGAACGCCTTCCTCAAGGGCAGCTCACCGTTCTTTTTATTGCCCCAGTCTGCTGTGTCAAACTCGTGACCTTTAAGTGACAAGTGGACCTTCTCCCCCCTTTGGCTGCCTGGCATCGACCCCCCCGACGGCCCACGTTTTCCCTTTTAGAAACATTCGCACTACGCCTCAGCCGACCCAGAAGCCCTGCATATGCAGATGAGCGGCGTAATAGGCAGTGCGACAGGTTCGCCCCCCCCCCCCGGGGGGCCGCGGGATCAAAGCGGATCTCCTCCCCGTTTAAGTGGCAGTCCGCTCGTCATCCGGATGTGGCCAGATAAGCGGGGACATCATTTGCATCTGGAATTTTAACAATGTGGTTTGGAAATCGTCACTTTATGTGATGCTTTCTCCAAACCCCCCCGACACACTCGCACGCCGCCCCTCTCTAATGGCCGGCGTTTCTCGCCCCCCCCCCGCTGCCTGTCCATCACCTGAGTCGGCTGTTTGTGTCACTGGGGGAGTCGAGTGATGCAGCTCCCGCATCTGTGCAAACCCCCCCCCCCCCCCCCCGATCACACACACACAAAACAACCGCCACCACAAAACCATCATCATTTAGGAGAGATGCAATTACTGCCTGTTGCGTGTCGAAGCGGGCGTATGAAGTGCCGGTGAACTAGCAGATAATAATCCATGAAAGAGGAAAAATGGGACACGGTCAAGCATTGAATATCTAGTCGAATCAAGTCAATTTACAAAGCCCTCACATCGCCTCTCAGGGCTCGATAATGTGTATAATATCTCAATCCTGAGAACTCCAGACAATGTGACTCACTAGCGTTGGGCAGATTCTCTCTCTTCTGCTACTAGCGTAACAGAATTATCTCCGTTTGACGGTCCAGAAAAAAGTAATATGGTGGCGATAAGAGTGGCTTAATGAGTAGGTCAATTACAAAATGATATTTTGGATCAGATCCCAGAGATCCTTCTGGTACACCGTATGTATGTTGCCATCCTGCGATCCTTTTACTGCAACATCCCCGATGGGCGGCGGCAGCTTCACCCACAACCTCGTCCCCAGCAGAGCCGATACACGCCGCCGGTGCTTTTTTCCAGCATGTGCGAGGGAGAGGCACAGCGGTCCAGCGCCCCGGTTTCCATTCACAACCTTTTGGCTGAAAGGTCAGATGGGCTATTTAAAAAAAAAAGCCCTCCAGTGAAAATCAATGGGTGAATTGGGGGCCCAGTTTGTTGTTTGTCGTCTTCGCCCGTCGTCAGCGGCGGCTGGCGGCGGCGGTGGTAGTGAATATCTGTGCTCGCTCCATCATCGGGGCCGGAAGCCCGGCATCCCCGGACTCTATAGGGGGTGAGCGGGAGGGAGACAGAAAATCGGAGACAAAGAGATGGAGAGGGAAAAGGAGACTTGGGGCGGGTGGTGGTGGTGGGGGGGGGCAGAGATGGAGATAGAGAGGGAGTTAAGGCCAGTGGAGATAGATCACGATGTCAGACACAGAGACACACTGCAGCCACAGATTCATCATCGCAACCGCGTCTGCAGGCGCAACTGGACAACGGGGGAAAAACGAGTGGACTGGAAGAGGAGCGGAGCAGGGACAAGGCCGAGAGACACGGGGGAAGATGGAGGGCGGGGGCTGGGGGGGCAAATTGGCTACCACACCTGGGCAAAACCTGGCCAAAAGCCAGTTAGGGCTGCTAAAGCGTTTTCACTAGTGTTGTTAGAATGAGCTTTTTAAGGACCCAACAATCGTAAACTATCGCCCCCTTTTGTTTGACTGCAAGTAAAACCAGGACCCCCGAGGTTTACGTCCCTCCAACGCGTTTCCTTCCTTGGCCACGAGGGATTTACTTCCGTACGTTTCGACGCGTCGCCGCTGTTTAAAAAAAGTCTCAAATCTCTACTAAAATGAGTACCGACCCCAGCACAACTTTACACGCTGCGTGGCTCCGATTACTCACCTCCAGTTCCACATGTTGGAATTCATCAATCAAATGAAACTGACGCTAAAAAAAAAAAAAAACCTGTCCGCCGCGGAGCAGAGGGGCTTCAGAGGACAAAGTAGTGCCCCCCTAGTTTTTCAGTAATATCTCTCTCGTCTTCAGGCCCTACGCAATCCGCCACCTCCCTCCCCCTCACCTCCCCCTCACGTCCCTGCCCCTCACCTCCGTGCCCCTCACCTCGCTGCCAAGCAGTCGGGCAAAAAAAGAGAATCCACGGCAGTGGAAGGATGGCGTCCTTTTCAAAATGCCTGTTTCAGTCTCACAAACTGGGTTATGCGTTCCTCCAGCAGGTGTAATTTCCCACTAGGTGTTTTTATTTTTTGAAAGATCATACAAAGTTGATGCGGGTGATTTAATTATCTCATAAGAAGGGTCTGTTTTCCAGGTCCCAAAGATGCGCGGGCTACTAAATAGCACTCCGTAACCCTATTTTTTTATTTGTTGCTTTGTTGCCGATAGTAACTTCAGCTCTTCTTCACCTCAAGACATGTTATGAGATGAAATAGAAAAAACAGAAAGGGGCTTTAAAAGTACCTTTGGTGTTCCTGTGTGTTTTCGAATATTACAAAGTGCTGTAATGAGAAGGAAAACAACAAAAAAAAGGAGATTCTTTTTTTTTTTTTTTGCCTCAGAGGGAGATAGCGACTCGTCTCCTCGCTGTACGAGCCTGTAGGTTCACTTTTCTCTTTGTGCACCAGAGCACTCCTTGGGACTCGAGCGACGGGGGAATTGGGCGTGCTGAGCTACGCTGGTGGCGAGGTGCCAGCCTCCTGTGCCGGGGATGTAAGTGAGAGGGAGGCAGGACGCGTTTCAATTAGGCAACAAACACCGCGCTCAGGCTGCAAAGAGAGGAAGAAAAAAAGAGGGGAAAAAAAGCCTTTACTAGCTGACTTCTCCCTTCTGACCTCTCCCTAAAACACACTCCCCTCCACTGCGCCGCTCGCCCTTTCGTTCCCTGTCTTTCCCCCATTTGAGAATCCTGAGTGTCATTTTTTCGCCAAACTCACACGGGAAGGACAGTACCGGGGGTCTCTGCGAGGTGACGCTAAGTGTGCCAGCTCGGGCCTGCATGTTTCCATTAGATTGTCATGTTGGCTAATTAGAGAGCAGCAGCATGATTCACCTTGTTAATTAGGAGGACTTGCACACCACGTGCCCGGGGGCGGCGTGGGGAAGAGGAGCCCAGCCTCAGAGCCTGCTAGTCGGCCCCGCTGCCTATGAAGATTCCCCTTCTCATCTACCTTTTTTCGCTCTTTTTTTTTTTTGATTTGGGAATGAATAAATCATCGAGATCGTCCCTCTTTCGGAGTGTGAATATGTGAGTTCTCATCTTCTCCTGGATGCAAATTAGACGTGATCAATAGAAGGTGACGAGCGGCGAATCTAAATGTAAAAAAGAGGGAGCGATGGAGGGAAAGAAGAGCGCGCTAGACGAAGCGCGCCAGCGCGGAATGAGACAAAGCGAGAGAACATTTAAAGTAGGAAATTTCCCCTTAGATAAGCAGTATTTTTAATGATCACCTCGCTCTCCCGGTGTAAGGCCGTCAGAATCTGCTTAACACTGACTTCTGGCTGTCTTCGTTAAACGCTGTTCCGTTCGCAATCGCAAAATATCAGAGCAAATGTTATTATTTATGAAAAATGATACTTACTCCGCCGGAAAGACGCAGATTCTTTTGGACACTTTCAATGCATCACAACCCCCCCCCCCCCCCCCTCCCTCCGCCCCCCCGTCCCACCTCCTCCGCGCAGTTTAATTCCCGCAAATAAGTTGCAGATGAAGAAGAGCCGTCGGGCCGTGATAGACACCCATATAATGACCTTCGCTCTGGGGACGGCCAAGGGGCCTGAATAATTGGTCCTTGGCCCTGGAAACACTTCTGACACGCGGCTCATCTTCAGAGGACTCTGTGAGCCGAGGCTATTAGCCCGTGCATGTATTT